AGAATTATGTTCTAATCTCATGTCATTTTATTATTTTGGTAAAAATAATTTGTTTAACTAAAAAATGGTTCTAAGTTTTTTCTGTTATGTCTACAAATTAAAAACAAAAAACAAAAAAACTCTGGCCACCAGGTGCGGTGGCTCACACCTGTAATCCCAGCACTTTGGGAGGCCAAGGCGGGAGGATTATTTGAGCCCAGTAATTCAAGACCAGTCTGGGCAACATAACAAGACCTCATCTCTACAAAAAAATCAAAACATTAGCTGGGCATGGTGGCATGTGCCTATAGTCCCAGCTACTCAGGAGGCAGGGGAAGGAGTATCACCTGAGCCCAGAAGGTCAAGGCTGCAGTGATCCTTTATCATGCCACAGCACTCTAGCCTGAGTGACAGAGTGAAGTCCCAACTCAAAAAAAAATTTTTTTTGCAGATTATATGCCAGATGTTTTTAATATCAGCTTTGTTGAGACATAATCCACATACCATACAATTCACCTATTTAAGGCATACAATTCAATGTATTTAGTATATTCAGAGTTGTACCAACCATCACCACAGTTTTAGAACATTTCATCACCATCCAAGAACACCCATACCCACTAGCAGCCCAGCTTCCTTTCCCCCATGTGTGCCCCTACCAGCCATCGGCAACCTCTAGTCTACTTTCTAAGTACAGATTTGCCTACCTTGGATATCTCAGTATAAATGCAATTCTCTACTATGTGACCTTTTGTGACACGCTACTTAGCATAATGTTTTCAAGGTTTATTGGCGAATGGCACTCCATTGTGTAGGTGCACCACATTTTTTATCAGTCATTAGTTGACGGATTTGGGGGTTATTTCCATATGAATAACGCTGCTATGAGCATTCATGTGCAAGTTTTTGTGTGGACATATGTTTTCATATTTCTTGGGTATATAGCCAGGAGAGGAATTATTGAATCATATGGTAACTCCTTGTTTAACCTTTTAAGAACTGCCACATTGTTTTCCAAAGTGACTACACCATGCTAAATTCCCGCCAGCAGTGTATGAGCGTTTTAATTCTTCCGTATCCTCACAAGCACTTATTTTTGTCTCTCCTTTTGATCAAAAGCTTTTTTTAAAAATGACTAAAACACTCTCCTGAAATTAAAGTATATTTTTTAATGTGGGGGAAGCAATAAGGCCATTATTGTGCCCAATGTAGTCTTCCTGTCATTAGAGAGACACCTGCAGTGTTCCCAACTTACGCTCAAATAAAGGTTGAGATTTTCTTCGTCTGTATCAGTAGGCAGTTTTCATTCCATAATTTTATCAGGACCTCAGTTTCCTTTCCTGTAGCAGTGATTTAAACAATTAACTGAGGATGATCATAACAGTCCATGTATGCATCAGTCTTTTCTATCTACCACCTTTTTTGCCACAGTCTACTGCACATTCTTCTGCTATTTCAAGCTCTGCCAGAATTCACGAACTCTGAGTGTTTTTTATATATAAATGCTACCATTAATAGAGGTGGTATCAGTGTTGTTTAACGGTAATCTCACATGACTTTTTTGGGTAATGTGTTCTGTGACAATAGTCAGCAATGAAAGAAGCAGCATCATAAAATGATGGTCATCTGCACTCTCTCCAACTTATTCTCAGTATATCACAAATCAAAACACCCCAATAAGGGCCAAAATACTTTATTCCTACATGTTACTCTTCACCCTTAACAGATTAAAACACTTAAAGACATGAAGCCCTACCAAGGGTTTCTAGTGTTTTGATTTAGAAGTCTCACCTGCAGCTGGGCACCGGTGGCTCATGCCTGAAATCCCAGCACTTTGGAAGGCAGAGGCGAGAGGATTTCCTGAGCCCACGGGTTTGAGACCAATCTGGGCAACTTGGTGAGACCTCGTCTCTACAATAAATCAAAAAATTAGCCAGGCATGGTGGCACACGCCTGTGGTTCCAGCTACTTGGAAGACTGAGGCAGAAGGATCACCTGAGCCCAGCAGGTTGAGGCTGCAGTGGCTGTAAGTATGCCACTGTACTCCAGCCTGGGCGAAACAGTGAAACTCTGACTCCAGAAACAGTGAGACTCTGATTCAAAAAAAAAAAAACTTACATGCATTCATGCTATATTAATCTGCTTTGTTTTGTGTCCTGGAGGTTTTTACATCCAGAAATGATGCAGGGGATTAAAATTGAGAATGAGTAAAAAATAGGGTTGGTTTGTTTGCTTGTTTTCAGAAAGCAGAAGGAAAATGGTAAAGGAGAAACCAGCAAGAAGTCTTGACTGTGGGAGCATTCTCAGATCAGTCTTAGAGAAAAGGACAGCCAGCCCTGCCTATCCGTGGGTTCCACATTTGCAGATTCAACCAACTGCAGATCAAAATTACTTGAGGAAAAAAAAGTACAATTGCAGAAAGTTTCAAAAAGCAAAACTTGAATTTGCTGAGCACCAAGCACTGTGCTGAATCCACATGAAAGGTGTATAGGCATATCCTGCTGTCGTCTCCTACCATGAAGCAAAGAAAATGTTACATAGTTGCTGACAGTACAGTATAACAACTATTCACATAGCATTTACATTGTATTAGGGATAATAAATAACCTAGAGATGATGTAAAGCATAAGGGAGGATGTACACAGCTTATATACATCTACTATGCCATTTTTACATCAGGGACTTGTGCATCCTTGGATTTAGGTGTCCAAGGAGATCTGGAACCAGCACCCTGTGTATACTAAGGGATGTCTATACACATGAAGATTAAAGGTCTGGATTCCTCTAAGGTTATCTTTGCTCATGTCCCCTTAGATAGTCTTTGTGAACCTCTAGGGGTGTGAACATCCCAATTTTAGACCACTGATCTAAAAAGATATTAAGATGTGGTTTTGGTTTTTGGTTTGTAGAGACAAGATCTTGCTATGTTGCCCAGGCTGATCTCGAACTCCTGGGCTCATGCAGTCTTCCTGCCTCAGCCTCCCAAAATGCTGGGATTACAGACATGAGCCACCATGCCCAGCCTGAGATGTGGTGTAAAACTCTGCATAGATGGAAGGCTGAGGCAGAAGGATCGCCTGAACCCAGCAGGTTGGGGCTGTGGTAGCTTGATCATGCCACTGCACTGCAGCCTGGACGACAGAGTGATACTCCGACTCGAAAACAAAACAAAACTCCGAAAAGAGGGCTAAGCTGAGGGCAAAGGTTGGGATGCAAGGGAATAAAATCAGGTGCTGTTTAAAACAGTGAGAGGGCTGAAGGAGATTTTATAGAAGAGAACCAGGTGTTTAGGGAGTGATTCTCACTTAAGCAGGAAGCAAAGGTAGCAGAGAAGGAGACGGAGAAATCAGAGACTTATGGGAGGAAACCCCCATGGGAATGTGAAGTTATGAAAGCTAACAGGGTTTTCAGTAAGAATAGCCTACAGTGTGGAAGACGGGAGGTTGGAGAGAAGGAAGTCTGAAAGACCAACCATTACATGTACCAAACGCAGTGCAAAGATTACTGCTACCTATTGTGTGGACCCATCTATCTTCGATTTACTCCAAAAACAGAAAGCCAGTAGTTTTATTACCCATCTTGGTCCCACTGATCACCAGCCCCTGTGTACTGGTAACCTCCCTGCCCCAGATTATTACAGTTTATGGTTTTTGTTTTCTTCTATGCACCGACGCATGGGAGGAGGTCTTTGTGCTCTACCCTTGACTTGTTTTGCAGTGTGATCTCTTCCGCAGAATAGACATAGTTGCAACCTGGAGCAGTGGCTGGGAGGAAGTGTCCCCAGAGGGCAGGCCCTGTTAACAAGTCCTTCACCTTTCTTTAGTGTTAAAAGCTTTGTTTAAAAAAATTTGGGGGGGGGGGTAAAATGTAGTGGCAGAAGTCACAATGGAAGTGATGAGAACTGAAATCGGATGTATGGTTAGTTGGTTGGAGACATAACTAACTTCTGAGAAACTTGCTATTGGTGGGAAGGAGAGATGTGAAGCAGAAGATAGAGTCCAGAGAAGCTTTTCTCGTTTTTGGAATAAGTGGTCCTAGAACATGTTCAGAGATGGGAGGGAAGAATTCACAGAAGAAACTGAAAATACAAGGGGAGATAATGGAGAAAAACAAGCTCCCCAAGGAGATAGAGGGAAGAGATGGTGTGCCAAGAGCAATAGAACGGAGGAGCACATCTGTCTCAGAGTCAGCCACATCCCCTTTGGGGCCCAGAGCAAAAATAAAGTGGCCATGATCTATAGGGCTCTGCAGTCCTGCAACAAGCTCTTTACATGCATGGTCAAAATTCTGGAACATTGATGGCCTAAAAATGTGTATATTTCCTCCGTGGTGGTCTTAATATTTTAAATAATGTTCATCTCTACTTTTAATCAACCTCATCTTAGAGACTGGGCTCCTGGCTTATCTTGTCTTTTCTACATATATTCTCTTCTACAGTCTTAATTTTTTGTCATATAGTTCCATAGATATTCCCTTTTATCACTATTCTTTTCTTTAACCCTTCATCTAACTTCCAGTTCAGTATTCTATTATGTAAACTACCAATAGCAATATTCAGCTTCTGACTCTTTGATAATTAGGTTTGCATTTTAGAAAATTGGTGTTTAATTTTTGAAGATGACTGTCTTAGTTGAGGCTATTATAACAGAATACCATAGACTGGGACTTAACCAACATAAATTTATTTTTCATGGTTCTAGAGACTGTGAAGTCCAAGATCAAGATGCAGGCAAATCCTGTATCTGGTGAGGTCCTTCTTCCTGATTTGCCAGTGGCAGTCTTCTCTTTGTATTCTCACATATGGAGCAAGGGGGAGCCAGCAAAGTCTCTACTTATAAGAGGACTAAGCTCATTCATGACTCCTATCCCTCATGACCTATCTAACTACCTCCCAGGGACCCCAACTCCTAATACTATCACATTAGGGGTTAGGATTTTAGGGGGATACGTTTATTCCATAACAGTGGCTAAAGCTATATTTTCTCATAATAATTAAATTTCATGTTTGGGACTTCTTCTAGGTTTAGCATGAGCTTTAACCGGCATAATCTGAAATATTACGTATTACCGAAAAAGCCTAAAAAGGTGGCATTTGATTGCTTAGAATGGATCAGAAAGCATCACCCATGTAAGTACAGTCATGTGATGAATTATTTCTAGAAGCAATAGAAAAATGTCTTTTTAGTACCACAATAGGATATATAAAATTGCATATTAAACATTTCTTTTTGCATTATAATAGCACTAACTTGCTATTTATAGAGCAGAATTTTGCAACTTTCAATTCTGGAAATTATAAAATCTCATTTGGTTTAATAACAATAAATCCTAACAGGAAATATACTAAATACTGTCTCCTACACACCTACATTATACTTCTTGGTTTCAGTGTCTTTCCTCTATCTTCTATCCAGTGTATGAATTATACAGCTTTTTGTTTTAGTGCCTTCTCCCAAGTGTGTCTGCCTTTGAGTTATATCAACTAAACTGAGATTCTGAAATTCCTAACAGTTTTCCATATAACCCCTCTCCACTTTTCTATGCAGAATTTTTTTCATAAACATTTCTACTTTATTTTTTAGAAATGAATATACATGTTTGTTTGAGAAATCAAACAATACAGAGTTCTAACAAGAAAAGGTCAGCAATCTTCCTACTCAGACCCTCCTCCCTCAGGCAGCTAATTTAAATAGCTTAGGGTTAGTGAATCTGTCTATATCTTTGGCTCTCTGCCACATAGAGATGACTTTTTCTTTAACGTATTATCTTTAATTTTATTTTTTAAATAACATGTAAAAATAATATATGTGCTCATTAAAGAAATTTTAGAGAACAACAAAAAGGAGAAACAGGTCAGGCTCGGTAGCTCAGCCTGTAATCCCAGAGCTTTGGGAGGCCGAGGTGAGTGGATTGCCTGAGCCCGCAGGTTCAAGACCCGCCTGGGCAACTTGGCGAGACCTCATCTCTACAATAAATCAAAAAATTAGCCGGGCATGGTAGCGCACGCCTGTAGTTCCAGCTACTTGGAAAGCTGAGGTGGAAGGATCGCCGGAGCCCAGCAGGCGAGGCTGCGGTGGCCAGGAGCGGCCACTGCCCTCCAGTCTGGGCGACACAGTGAGACTCCAACTCAAAAAAAAAAAAAAAGAAAAGGAGAAACAGAAGACAGATATCAATTACTCTAAGAGCAAAGTCAGTTATCATTTTTATTAACTTCTAGTATTTTATATGCATTTTTCTTCCCATTAGCATCCACTATATACAGTGTTTTTACCTTTAACCTGCTTTAAATCTTGAGCATTTTCTCATGTCTTTTAAAGACTTAGAAAACACTGTAGAGCTGGGTATAGTGACTCATGCCTGTAATCTCAGCACTTTGGGAGGCTGAGACATGAGGATCACTTGAGGCAAGTAGTTCAAGACCAGCCTAGGCAATATAACGAGACCTCATCTTTACAAAAAAAAAATCAAAAGAATTAGCTTGGCTTGGTGTTGTGTGCCCGTAGTCCCAGCTACTTGGGAGCTTGAGGCAGGAGGATCACTTGAGCCAGGAGTTTGAGACTATGGTGAGCCGTGATTGTTCCACTGCACTCCAGCCTGGGTGACAGAGTGAGACCTTGTCTCAAACAAACAAACAAACAAACAAAAGCACTTTGACAGTTACAGTATACTTTATTACATAATTCCCTTTCTTAATTAAATTATTTCCCTAATGTTGCCCACTAAAATTTTTGTAATTTTAAGACTTTGAAACAAAACTGTTTGTTTAAATCCTTATACTGCTTTATTTCCTAGATTAGTTTTCTACAAGGAAATCAAAGGTATTTCTAAGGCTCTTGATACGTATTGCCATATGCTTTTTTTTTTCTTTCATCGAAGTCTCATTCTGTCGTCCAAGCTGGAGTGTAGTGGCATGATCGCAACTCACCATAGCTTCCTGGGTTCAGGTGATCCTTCTGCCTCAGACTCCTGAACAGCTGGGACTACAGTCATGCGCCACCAAGCTTTTTTTAAAAAAATTTTTGTAGAGATGAGGTTTCGCTATGTTTCCAAGGCTGATCTCGAACTCATAGGCTCAAACAGTTCTTCTACCTCAGTGTCCCAAAGTGCTGGGATTATAGGTATGAGCCACCATGCCCCCAGCCTGTCATATGCTTTTGACACAATTTATGTAAGGGTGACTGCTCGTGATATAGCCAGTGTAAAATAGAGCCCAGAGTTTGTCCAGGTCCACCTCATGAACCATTAGCAGGGGCAGGATTCAAAGCCAGGTCTCATCTCCAATTGTATGTGAATTCCTTGCCTGCGTTATTCTGCCTGTGCGATCCTCCAATACTATAAGAGCACTATGGAGGTCTACTTATAGTTCCTATATTTCTAAAAACGTAATGTAAGTTGTGTTGTTATTTATATTAAAAGTCCTTTCTTAATACTATTTTGGTTTCTTGGCAGATGACTCAGGAATTATTTACTGCCTGTCCAGGAGAGAATGTGACACAATGGCTGACACCTTACAGAAAGGCAGTCTCGCTGCTCTTGCCTATCACGCAGGCCTCACTGATTCTGCCAGAGATGAAGTGCAGCACAAGTGGATTAATCAGGATGGCTGTCAGGTAACATTTTTTAAGATAAACAAATAATAGAAATAATCTTTTAAAACATATAAGCAAACACGCATATGTAAGATCCAAATTATTTTTCATTTACAAGTAGAAAACATCAAAACAAGATGGAAATTTAAAAACAGATTTTTATTGAGACTTTAATTTTTTTTCCTAGTGATAGGATCTCACTCTGCTGCCTAGGCTAGACTGCAGTGATGCAATCATATCTCACTGCAGTCTTAAACACCTAAGCTTAAGCAGTCCTGCCTCTGCCTCCTGAGTAGCTGGAATTACAAGTGTGCGCCACCATGCCCAGCTATTTTTTTTTGGTAGAGATGGAATCTTGCTTTGTTACCCAGACTGGTCTCAAACTCCTAGCTTCAAGTGGTCCCCCCAACATAGCCTCCCAAAGTGCTGGGATTACAGACAGGAGCCACTGCAGCCAGCCTCTTGAGACTTAACAAAATTGCTTTTTCTTTCTTAAATCAAAAAAAGACCTGGGCATGGTGGCTCATGCCTGTAACCTCAGGACTTAGGAAGGCCAAGGTAAGAGGATTGCCCGAGCCTAGGAGGTCAAGACTACAGTCCACTGCACTCCAGTTTGGGCAACAGAGTTCCAACTCAAAAAAAAATTTTTTTTATTGAGAAATAATTCACATACCATAAAATTCACCCTTTCAAAGTATACAGGTTAGTGGTTTGGGTATATTTGTGAACTGCAGCTATTACCACTATCTAATTCCAAAACATTTCATCACCCCAGATAGAAACCTCATCACTGGCCAGGTGCAGTGGCTCATGCCTATAATCCCAGCACTTTGGGAGGCCGAGGCAAGAGGATTACCTAAGTCCAGGGATTTGAGAACAGCCTGGGCAACTTGGTGAGACCTCGTCTCTACAATAAGTAAAAAAAAAAATTTAGCTAGCTGTGGTGGTGCATGCCTGTTGTTCCAGCTACTTGGAAGGCTGAGGTGGAAGGATACCCTGAACCCAGCAGGTTGAGGCTGCAGTGTGTCACTGCACTGCAGCTTTGGAGATGGAATGAGACTCTGACTAAAAAAAGAAAAGCACATCACTTCCCCCACCCCACCCCCCATTCCTGGCAACCACTAATTGACTAACCACTACTAATCTGTCTATATACCTTTTTCTATTCTGTACATTTCACATAAGTGGAACTATTGTATGTGGTCTTTTGTGACTGTTTTCATTTACTCAGCATATTTTTTTTCAAGGTTTACCTATATTTTAGCATATAGCAATACTTCATACCTTTTTGTGGCCAAATAATATCCCATTATATGGATATACCACAGTCTGTTTATCTGCTCATCAGCTGGGTAGACATTTGGGTTATTCCACTTTTTGGCTACTGAGAATAATGATTGTGTGAATATTTATGTGCAAGTTTTTGTGTGAGCATATGTTTTAAGTTCTCTTGGGTAGATACCTAGGAGTGGAATTGCTGGGTCAAATGGTAACTCTCTGTTTAACTTTTTGAGGAACTGCCAAACTGTTTCCCAAAGTGTCTACTACATAGTTTTACAATCCCACCAACAATGTGTGAGGTTCCAGTTCTCCACCTCCAACTTAAAAAAAAAAAAAAAGAGGCTGGGCACAGTGGCTCAAGCCTGTAATCCCAGCACTTTGGGAAGCGGAGATGAGGGAATTACCTGAGTCCTGGGATTCAAGACCAGCCTAGGCAACTTGGTGAGACTTCATCTCCACAATTAATTTTTTAAAAATTAGCCGAATGTGGTGGCGTGTTCCTGTAGTTTCAGCCACTTAGAAGACTGAGACAGTATTGTGAGCCCAGCAGGTTGAGGTTGCGGTAGTTGTGAGCATGTTAGTGCATTCCAGCCTGGGTGACAGTGAAACTCCAACCCCCTCAAAAAAAAAAAAAAATTAGTCTCAAATAGCCTAGGCTATAAACAGATGACTGGAAAGGAGGAAATACTCACAAATGACTGGATATAAATTTTTTTTAAGTTCAAACTTACTAATCAGAACTTCAAATTTAATCAGGACTTTAAATTTTTTTTACCTTGAATTAGCAAACTTTAATTTTTGGTAGCAGTGCTGTAAGAGGCACTTTCACGCAATGCTCATGAGAGCCTTTCTGTAAAACAGTGTATCAGAGTATATCAGGAGCCCCAGATCTGAAATATGGACATGGAATTTATATCAGTGTTATTTTAATAATAAATAACCTAATATTTTGTACTAAATAGCCAAAATGTAGATAGTTTAAATGTCCCAAGAGAAAGATTGAGTACATTGTGGTGCATTCCAGCATTATATCCTGGGCAATATAGCAAGACTCTGTCTCTACAAAAAAAAGTAAAAATTAGCCAAGCATGGTGACACATGCCTGTAGTCCCAGCTACTCAGAAGGATGAGTTGGGAGGATCACTGGAGCTCAAGAGTTCAAGGCTGCAGTGAGCTATGATTATGCCACTGCACTCAAGCAAGGTGACAGAGCAAGACTCTGTCTCTAAAAAAAGAATAAAAATGATTTCTAAAGATTTTTTTTTTTTTGAGTGAGTGTCTCACTCTGTTGCCCAGGGTAGAGTGCAGTTGCTCACTCACGGCCACCCCAGCATCGACCTGCTGGACTCAGGTGATCCTTCTACCTCAGCCTTCCAAGTAGCCGCTACAGGCGCACACTACTATGCCTGACTAATTTTTTGATTTATTGTAGAGACAATGTCTCACCAAGTTGCCCAGGCTGGTCTCGAACCCCTGGGCTCAGGCAATCCTCTTGCCTCTGCCTCCCTAAGTGCTGGGATTACAGGTTTGAGCCACTGTACCTGGCAGTTTATGAAGAATTTTTTAATGTGTGATATTCAAATGCTACTGATGGGGAAAAAGTAAGAATAGAATTTATTTTTAAAGTGCATGTTCTCAGTCATATAAAAAGAAAATTTAGGCCAGGCTCAGTGGCTCAGCCTGTAATCCCACACTTTGGGAGGCCAAGGTGAGTGAATTGCCTGAGCCTGTGGGTTTGAGACCCGCCTGGGCAACTTGGCGAGACCTCATCTCTACAATAAATAAAATTTGTAAAAAATCAGCTGGGCATGGTAGCACATGCCTGTAATTCCGGCTACTCGGAAGGCTGAGGCGGAGGGATCGCCGGAGCCCAGCAGGTCGAGGCTGCAGTGGCCAGGAGCAGCCACTGTACTCCAGTCTGGGTGACAGAGTGAGACTCCAACTCAAAAAAAAAAAAAAGAAAGAAAGAAAGAAAATTTAATTTAAAAAAGGACAATAAAAAATAAAGCCTGGAAGAAAGTAGTCTAGAATTTAAAAGTGATTACTCCTAACCATTTCATTAAAAGTGATTTTTTTTTCAGATTTTTTCTTTATTTATTTATTTTTATTTATTTTTTTTTGGAGTTGGAGTCTCACTCTGTCACCCAGACTGGAGGCAGTGGCCGCTGCCGGCCACCGCACCCTCGACCTGCTGGGCTCCGGAGATCCTACCGCCTCAGCCTTCCACGTAGCCGGAACTACAGGCGCACACTACCACGTCCGACTAATTTTTTTTTTTTTTTTTTTTTTATTGTAGAAATGAGGTCTCGCCGTGCCCAGGCGGGTCTCTAACCCACGGGCTCAGGCAGTCCACTCACCTCAGCCTCCCAAAGGCGCGGGATTACAGGCTGAGCCACCAAGCCTGGCTTATTTATTTATTCTTTTTTGAGAAAGCAGGATTCATTGACAGGACAGAGAAGCTCCCACAGTGGGAGGGAACCCAAAGGAGTTGCAGTCAAGGAATATTGTTAGCCTATACCAACTTGACAGACTTGATTTTGTTAGATTCATGAGACAGAATAAAACTTGGTTGTTGTTCTTCACTAAAAATGATTGTAACCTGAAGTTTTAAAAACAGAAACAAAGCCGGGCTCGGTGGCTCAGCCTGTAATCCCACGCCTTGGGAGGCCGAGGTGAGTGGATTGCCTGAGCCCGCAGGTTCGAGACCCGCCAGGGCAACTTGGCGAGACCTCATCTCTACAGTAAATCAAAAACTAGCCCGGCGTGGTAGCGCGCGCCTATAGTGCCAGCTACTCAGAAGGCTGAGGCGGAAGGATCACCGGAGCCCAGCAGGTTGAGGCTGCGGTGGCCGGGAGCGGCCACTGCACTCCAGTCTGGGAGACAGAGACTCCAACTCAAAAAAAAAAACAAAAAAAACAAATAAAAACAGAAACAAAGAAGGAAGTTAAAAAGTAAAGCCACTTTTCCCAGTTACAAGAAATGAGAGCTTTCGGAAAAAGTTGGCATCTTCATGGCCTCAGTCAGAGTCTGCAGCCACTGCCTCACAGCCAGGTGCCCACCCCAACACTGGGACATGCACCTGAGCTTCTTGGAAGCCTGCAGGCCACGCCTTTGGACCTGTGGGCTGGCATGTCTTTGCTGTGCAGCCTCTCTGCCTGCTCTCCATCACTAGAGGCCCCAGTAGACTTTCTCCTTCCAAGGAGATTTGCTTTTGATCAGAGTGCCATAAATTTAGATGGATGACTAACCTAGAGTGCAGGCCGCTGCCATTCCCAGTGTTGATAAATGTGTCCCGTTGCTGTCCACACACTCCATAGCTTGCAGTTTCTTTCTCCGGTACTCACAGTTACTGAAATCATGTCATTAGTCTCAGTCTGGCTGCCAGATATTTCATTTGCTTTTGAAATACTGTTCTTGCAGTAGCAATTCACTTTTTAAAATGCTAAAAAATCTTCAGCTTTATTTGTATAATGTAATTTTGCCTGGAGATGTAACATTTTGGTCTGGGTTAAGGAGGTCCTAAATTTGCAATTGAAATGGGTATTCTTGAAAACTGATTTATCAAGCGCCTGAACGTTAACAATCACCTGTTTCCACAAAGTAATTTGTATGGGCCAAGAGCCACAGCCCTTTGTTTGTTTGTTTGTTTGTTTGTTTGTTTGTTTGTTTGTTTGTTTTAGTACAAGTACCTCTCAGACTTACCCACATGAGTTTCAATTACAATTTCACAAAAGACCAGACAGTGATTCATGCCTGTGGGAGCACTTTGGGAGGCTGAGGTAAGAGGATTACCTGAGCCCAGGAGTTTGAGACCAGTCTGGGCAACATGGCGAGACCTTGTCCCTACAATAAATCAAAATATTAGCCAGACTCGGTAGTGCTCATCTGTAGTCCCAGCTACTTGGAAGGCTGGGGTGGAATGATTGCCTGAGCCCAGCAGGTCAAGGCCGCGGTAGCTGTAATCTTACCACTGCACTCCAGCCTGGGCAGCAGAGTAAAACTCCAATTGAAAAATAAATAAATAAATAAAATTTTACAAGCTTAGACTTTTAATCAGCTGATGAAACAAAGGAGTTTCTGTGTGATCAGCTGGTACCACTAGGAAAACTGATGGTAAACAGTGGAGCAGGTAAGAATGCCATTGTTCCTGAATCATCGTAGGAGCCACCAGCAATGACCTCTGAGAGCCCGAGTCCTGGGAACACCCCAGAGCTCCTGAGCAACGCGTTACTTATGATCATTGACCTGAATATCATGGCTTTGTGAGCAACTCGCCACACCTCAATATCAACAACTTGGAGAACAGACAGTGGCAATACTTCATAGACTGACTGCCGTTGATTCCAGCCCCTTTATGTGATAATGCCGAATCACACAAGGAAGTGCCTGCCGCACTGAGCTTCTCTTTACCGTCTTAGGTCTTAAGAGAGTTGTAAGTTATAATATGAAAGTCTCATATAAGTTATGCTACGTAATGGGACCATGCTAAGATAATTAGGTTGTTATGTAGAGTACGTTTTAAAGTAAAATAAAGGATAGAGCTTTTAAAAGCATCTGTTATTAAAATATTCCTTTAAGTGTATTATGGGTCTAATAAGCTTTTGCTTTTTACATTAGGTTATCTGCGCGACAATTGCATTTGGAATGGGGATTGACAAGCCTGACGTGCGATTTGTGATTCATGCATCTCTCCCTAAATCTGTGGAGGGTTACTACCAGGAATCTGGCAGAGCTGGGAGAGATGGGGAACTATCTCACTGCCTGCTTTTCTATACCTATCATGACGCGACCAGACTGAAAAGACTTATAATGAGTAAGCTGAGTGCCATTGTAGAGACATTCTGTCATCTTCAGTCTCATGATAGTAATCTACTCCTGCTATTGTGGGACTTTTGGTCCCATCTTCCATAAATATAGATTGGAAATTTTATTTTAGTTCATTTTTATTATAAAAGTGCTATGTGCTTGTGTAACTCAAGTGATACAGACAAGTACAAGGCAGAAATTTACAAACCATACCTTGTAGTTTTGCCCCAAGAAATAACTCCAGTTTTTAGTTTACTTTGTATTCTTTCAGAGGCAATTTCCACATGTACTGTTGCACATAACACATATTTCAAACATGTAGAAAGATAAAAAGGAGAGAGTAATTAACTCTTACATGCCACCATCCAGGTTAAGGTATAAAACACAATCAGAGGCCAGGCTCAGTGACTCAGCCTGTAATCCCAGCACTTTGAGAGGCCAAGGCAAGTGGATTGCCTGAGCCCACGGGTTCAAGACCAGCCCGGGCAAGTTGGCAAGACCTCATCTCTACAATAAATAAAAAATTAGCCGGGCATGGTATCGTGTGCCTTCCGGCTACTTGGAAGGCTGAGGCAGAAGGATCGCCGGAGCCCAACAGGTCAACGCTGGGGTGGCTGTGAGTGTGCCACTGCACTGTAGCCTGGGGAATAGAGTGAGACTCAAACTCAAAAAAAATTGGCTGGGCATGGTGGTGCATACCTGTAGTTCCAGCTACTTGGAAGTCTGAGGCAGAAAGATGCCTGAGCCCTGCAAATCAAGACTGCAGTGGCCGTGAGCTTGCCACTGCACTCTAGTCTAGGCAGTTGAGTGAGACTCCGACTCAAAAAATAAAAATATAATGTAAATGAGATTATATGTTACATTTTTACTTTTTGTTTTTTCCACTATATAGTTCTTACTGAAACAAAACAGCATGCCTTTTTATATATATAGTGACCTGATAATTTTCTTAGCACTAAGATGTAATTATTAATTCAATTAATACACATAGCTTGACTTCGTGGTTATCCCATGTTTATTAATCCAGTCAACTCTTGGTAGGTCTTGTTCGTTTTTTTTCGCTGTTATCAGTATTGGCATCCTTGTACAAATATCTTTGGGCATTTATACAATTATATAGAATAAATTTCTAGAAAGACTTGCTGGGTGAAAGCAAATACACATTTTAGAGTTTTATTCCACTTTTTGCTCATTTTTCTACTGGGTTGTGATAGTTAGATATATTTCCTAAATAAATTTATCTGTTTTGAGACCACTTTTGAATTAACTCTGGTAGAGGTACCAAACATGGGAAATGGCACTTACCTTGCACCATACCAAACATGTATATATCGTCTCATTTTTGCTCAGAGCAACTAACTTTTGAGATAGAGTTGATCCCATGAGAAAAGCAAGCTTCAGAAAGGTTTTTTATCTTGTTCCCAGGATCACTGATAATAGCAGCAACAGCAGCAGGAGCAGTAATAGTAGTACAGTAACAGTAGTTATTATAGGTCATATTTCTCCAGCACTTACTGTATGCTGTCCTAAATGCTATCCTAAATGCTTTACATATATCACCAACTCACTTAACTTCACAACAGTCCTAAAAGGTAAGACTATTACTTGCCTCATTTCACAGAGAAGGAAAATGAGCTCCAGAACTAGTAAGTGATAGAGCCCTGATGCAACCCAAGTTCATTTGACTCCAGAGTCCATGTTCCTTGCTCTATACCCAAGTGACTCTCAGTGAAAAAAATGAAACGTTTACACTTGGTTTGCCTATTTGTGTTTTCAAAGTCTATATTAAGTTAGATCCAAACAATTTAGTAAGTATTTAAGTTCTAATAACTTAGCAACTATTTGGAAAAAACGATACCCATGAACTAGAAAAAAATAATGTTTTTACATTATTATTAAGTAACCACAGTTCCTTACTAAAAAAAAAAAGTATGCACCTGCTGTTCTCAATCCTTGGCATCAGTTTGGACACTGCCACCTCATTTCTTGTTGCAGTTTTATTTTCTTGAGATACTTCTTTTCATCATTCAAAACTCCAGCCTCATAAAAGGAGGATATTACATAATGTAGCACATCTGAAGTTAAACCATGAACTACCTCAAACTAATAGTTTGTGTGATGTTCAACAGATGTCGGTGTTGCTGCATTTCTCTTGAATTTAAAATATCCTAGCCAGCCGGGCTCGGTGGCTCAGCCTGTAATCCCGCGACTTTGGGAGGCTGAGGCGAGTGGATTGTCTGAGCCCGCGGGTTCAAGACCCGCATGGACAGCGAGACCTCATCTCTACAATAAATCAAAAAATCAACCGGGCGTGGTAGCGCATGCCTGTAATTCCGGCTACGTGGAAGGCTGAGGCAGAAGGATCGCTGGAGCCCAGCAGGTCGAGGCTGCGGTGGCCAGGAGCAGCCACTGCACTCCGGTCTGGGCGACAGAGTGAGACTCCAACTCAAAAAATATATATATATCCTAGCCAGGCTTGGTGGCTCAGCCTGTAATCCCAGCACTTTGGGAGGCCAAGGCAATTGAATTACCTGAGACCACGGGTTTGAGACCCACCTGACCAACTTGGCGAGACCTCATCTCTACAATACATCAAAAATCAGCTGGGCAGTAGCACGCACCTGTAGTTCCAGCTACTTGGAAGGCTGAGGCGGAAGGGTCGCTGGAGCCCAGCAGGTCAAGGCTGCAATGGCCGCGAGCCTGCCACTGCACTCCAGTCTGGGCAACAGAGTGAGACTCCAACTCTAAAAAAAATCTTGCCTCTCTGATTTCATGACAGCACCCCAGGACTTGTTGGCACAGTTTTGCAACCATTGGCGTAACTGCTTTGACCTTACATGCTCAGAGAAGGCACAGCCCGCTGCTATAGTCCCTTGCTCTGCCTCCTTGGGATGTCCAGTCCAGTACATGCTTGTCTGATAAATACAGTAAAAATAGGTGAAGCCCTCATCAATGGAGACAATGAAGATTTGAAAAAAAATTTTATTTTGAAAAAAATCTAGCATTTATTTCTATTAAGCTAAGATCTTGAGAGATGAATTTAAATACCCTGTTAATTATAACATAGAATAATGTTATATTGACATAATGCTGTTACTAGTAATTTGCTTATTCCAATTTATAAGAATCTTCTAAATATTTCTATGTTATTCTTTATGTTTCTATTCCATTATGTTATACTCTTTATTTCTTATAGTGGAAAAAGATGGAAACCATCATACGAGAGAAACTCACTTAAATAATTTGTATAGCATGGTACATTACTGTGAAAATATAACAGAATGCAGAAGAATACAGCTTTTGGCTTACTTTGGTGAACATGGATTTAATCCTGATTTTTGTAAGAAACACCCAGATGCTTCTTGTGATAATTGCTGTAAAACAAAGGTAAATTTTAAAATTATTTATGATTAAGGAAGTTGCTGAGATGTTTTTTTCTTCTTTTATCCCCCCTCCCACAAACTTGAAAGGACTGGAGTTTTCTTAATTTAGAAAAGTAGGTACAAGTTAGATTACAATAGATGGTTCCCAAGGTAGTAAACAAGGAAAAGAGGGATTCCTCTCTATAGTAATTTGGAGTAGAAACATTTAAAAAGTCTTTTTGTGGAATATCTTTTCTTTATAATTAAAATTCTTGGCCGGGCATGGTGGCTCGTGCCTATAATCCCAATACTTTGGGAGGAAGAGGCAAGAGCTTTGCCTGAGCCTAGGAGTTCAAGACCAGCCTTGGTAACTGGGGAGACCTCATCTCTACAATAAATCAAAAACTTAACCAGGCCTGGTGGCACACACTTGTTGTTCCAGCCATCAGGTCAAGGCGGTGGTGGCTGTGATTATGCCATTGCACTTCAGCTTGGACAGCAGAATAAGACTCTGACTCAAAAAAACATACATACACACACACACACAAATAATGAATTAGGATCCTTTAAAAATATATACTAGAATTGCCGGAGCCCAGTAGGTCGAGGCTGCAGTGGCCGAGAGCGGCCACTGCACTCCAGTCTGGGCGACAGAGTGAGACTCCAACTCAAAAAAAAAAAAAAAAAATACTAGACATCCACAAGTCCAAAATGTTGAGGGTATATATGTGCACTGGTAGGATATTTTAGAACAATCATTCATTTGTAAACAACCAAAAAAGATCCAACATGGGCAGGTAGAATATTTTAAGTTCAACTATAACCTATATTTAAATATCTCATTCTCAATAGAGTAATAATAACAATTATACTGTGTGTCAATTTTGAATTCAAATGAATGAATTAAGTTACTTTATTTTTTTTTTCAACTATAAAGAATAATTGTATTGGCTTCTGGGTGAATTCACTATCATCTATCCTAAAATATCTTTGAAAGGTTATTAAATTTAACCATTAGGTATTTTACCTATCATGGTAATTGTACAATTTAATGTCTACTATAATTTACTGTTTACTGAGCATTTTTACATTTGGTCTGTTATTTAAAATGCCTGTACAAGGTGCTGGAGATTCACAAATGAATGTGATGTGGATGAATTCTCAGACTGGAGGGGAGGCAGGCATGTATACGTGTTTGTATAAGTTTAATACTACTTACCAGACACAATAGTCACGCCTGTAATCCCAGCACTTTGGGAAGCAGAGGCGAGCAGATTGCCAGAACTCAGGGTTCAAGACCAGCCTGGGCAACTTGGTGAGACTTCATCTCTACAATAAGTAAAAAAAATTAGCCGGGTGTGGTAGCACGTGCCTGTAGTTCTAGCTATTTAGAAGAGTGAGGCAGAAGGATTGCCTGAGTCCAGCAAATCTAGGCTGCGGTAGCCATGAGCGTGCCACTGTACTCAAGTCTAGGCAACAGAGTGAAACTCTAACATACACAAAACTTAATACTACCTAGTAAGTATACTTACAAAGACATGCAGCAGTTGCAGAGCAGAGGGTGGTCTCCCCCGGTGTGGAATCTGCAGATTCGTGGCCATCTGCTCTCACCCCACCCCACCCCGTAAACATTGCTAATCAGTTCACTCATTCAACAGATATTTATTGACCTCTGAAACAGGTACTGTTCTAGGAATGTGGAATACATCACTGAACAGAAGTAAAAATCCCTGCCCTTGTGTAGCTTCCCTCTAACAGAGGGTGGCTGATTAGGGACAATATAGTGTACACAATAAGTATCTGTTAAGGAATAAGAACTGTGGTGAGAGACTGAAACAGGAGGATCACTGAGTCCAGGAATTTGAGGCTGTGGTGAGCCATGATCATTTCACTGCACTCCAGCCTGGGCAACAGAGTGAGACTCCGGCTGAAAAACAACCCAAAAAACTGGTGAAAAGTAGAGCAGAGTAAAGAGACAGGAATAATGGGTGGAGTGCAGGGTACAACATTCAATATAGTGGTCCCTGGAAGTCTAATTGAGGAGATGAGATTGGAGCAGAAACTTGAAAAGGGGGGTGAGCTGAGCAGAGCATTGGCAAGAGCAAAGGCCCTGAGTTGGGTATGTGTGATGCATGTGGGGGACAGCAAGGAAGTCCGTGTGACTGAGTTAGGGTTAAGGGCTAGTGATGAGAAGATAATAGAGAGCCAAAGTAGCCACTTGAGAGCTAGAGGCCTGAGTAGCTAGAAGAATGGAGTTATCATTAGATGAGATTGGGAAGACTGTTTGGCCAGGGAGGTTGGGAGTTCACTTTGGGGCATATTGAATTGCACAGGTCTGTCAGATTCAAGAATTTTGAGAGGAAAAAAACAACTGGTGGCACATATAAGTTTGGGAGTGACTGGCACATAGATGATATTTAAAACCATGAGATTAGATGAAGTCTTTAGGGGTGTGAGTTTAGACGGGAGAGAATAAAACCAGAAACATAGCCCTGGCACAAGAACCTGAGGAGATGAGGAAGAACTAGAAAAGGAGACCAAGAAAGAGGAGAAAAACCAAGGCAACTAAGTACAGGCGGGGTTTCGAGGAGGAGTGCTAAACATAGCAGATGCTGCTGCCAAGTCAGGTGTGGCAAGGACTGAGAAGTCACTGTTGGATTTAGCACTGGGTAAAGCACGGCAACCTTGGCATGACCATTCTCAGTAGAGTGGGGCAAAAATGGAGACAGTGAATATCGACAATTTAGTTTTGCAGCAAAAATGAACAAAGAAACAGAACAGTAGCTGGCAGGGGGAGGTGGAGTCAAGAGAAGACAGGAGAAATAACATTTGTATGCTGACAGGAATATACCTAAAGAGGATGAAAAGTTGGTATATAGGAGAGAGGGGGAGAATCACTGAAACAATGTCCTCAAATGGGCAAAGGATGGGCTTAGGATCCAGGGTAAAAGTCGAGAGATTGGCTTTATATTGGAGCCGGGAGAGTTCATCTATAGTAACACGAGAGAGCCGGGCTCGGTGGCTCAGCCTGTAATCCCACGCTTTGGGAGGCTGAGGTGAGTGGATTGCCTGAGCCTGCGGGTTCGAGACCCACCTGGGCAACTTGGCGAGACCTCATCTCTACAATAAATCAAAAAATCAGCCGAGTGTGGTAGCGTGCGCCTGTAGTTCCGGCTACTCGGAAGGCTAAGGCGGAAGGATCGCCGGAGCCCAGCAGGTCAAGGCTGTGGTGGCCGGGAGCGTGTCACTGCACTCCAGTCTGGGCGACAGAGTGAGACTCCAACTCAAAAAAAAAAAAAAGAGAGTTCATCTATAGTAACACGAGGGAAGGTAAGAGAGTAGGGTGCAGATCCTGGCACATGAGCAGATGCAGTGATGCGAGCTTGTGAAAGCTCTCTTCTGATCACTTCATTTTCCCAGTTAAGTAGGAAGCAGGGCCATTAGCTGACAGGATAAGGGAGGGGATTGAAGAGAAAGGAGAAAGTGTGAAATAGTCATCTAGGACAGGGTCAGTAAACTTGATCTTGCAGGGCTAAATAGCAGATTTTTTTTTTTTGAGCTGGAGTCTCACTCTGTCGCCCAGACTGGAGTGCAGTGGCCGCTCCCGGCCACTGCAGCCTTGACCTGCTGTGCTCCAGCAATCCTTCCGCCTCAACCTTCCAAGTAGCTGGAACTACAGGCGCGCACTACCACACCCGGGTAATTTTTTTTTTGATTTATTGTAGAGATGAGGCCTTGCCAACTTGCCCAGGCAGGTCTCGAACCCACGGGCTCAGGCAATCCACTCACCTTGGCCTCCCAAAGTGCTGAGATTACAGACTGAGCCACCAAGCCCGGGCTGATAGCAGATATTTTAGACTTTGCTCCTGATAGACTCAATCACAACTACTCAATTTTGCCATTGTAGCCCAAATGCAGGCATAAATAGTAAATATACCAATTTTCCAATCATGTTCCGTAGCTGTGTTCCAATAAAACTTTATTTGCAAATACATGTATGTGTGCAGCTCATGGGCCATAATTTGCTGACTTTTGTCTCTTATAAGATATTGGAGGAATGATAGACTAGGGATATATAATGATTACCTGCAGCATTCACAGTTCACTAGAGGACCACTAACAGTGCCAGGTATTAGAAGTGAAAGTGAAGACAGCATGGTTGTATGTGTTTCTTCAGCCAAGTTCAGCCACGCAGGTACAGGGACGGAGGAAATGGAGAGTCGGATCTAGTATGTTTTGTCAAGTAATGTGACGTGACCTAAGGGCAAGGGAGTTGAGGGCATATGAGATGTAATGATGATAATGATTGTGGAATGTCAGCAGTTAGGAAGACATCTGAGGTTGAGGATCAGTGGATAAGCAGTTCCAGTGGATTGTGTGAGTCAGAATACTAGATGGAATGAGTTGGAAAGAGAGGATGTGGTGCTCTGAGAACGAAAGGGTTGCCATTATTAGTAAGCGTAAGGTAGGGGGTGTGAGTGGCTAATATATGTGAAGGACATACGTCATTGGAGCAGAGGAGATCAAGGAGCCAAAGGCCAAAGTACTGGAGAATCATCTCTATATACTGAAGTCACCAACAATTAAGGCAGGAATGAGCTGGAGTGACAGGTACTCTTTCTTGATGATTCAAGATGGGGCCTCAGAACCACTACCAGTTGTTAGGATAAGACCAGAAACCTGTTCATCTTCAGGTTGTTGGAATGCGGCAAATGGCAAGGATTAGAAGGTAGAGAGAGCTGCTGTGTGGAGGCACAGAAGCAGGAGGCAGCCTTCTAGAACTGCAAGGGTACTCTGCGAGGATGGAGAACAAGGATAGAAGAAGGCGGAAGATCATCTAGGAATGGGGAATGAAAAGGGAACTGATGGGAGATTAATAAAAAGGAACCGACCATGGCACCAAAGATGCAGAAGAACTTAGAACTCATGAATGTGTGCGCCCAGATGGGGTCGTTCAGCCCAAAGGTTGGTTGCCATCCAGCAAGTGACAGAGCAGTGCTCTAGGCGGTATGAAGGATTTAAGTGTGTGTGTGTGTGTTTTGTTTGTTTACTTTTAGTCTGGGTCTCACTCTGTCACCCAGGCTGGGGTGCAGTTGTTTGATCATGGTGATTGAGGCTCACTGCAGCCTCACCTCCTGGGCTCAGGTGATCCTTCCACCTCAGTATCCCTAGTAGCTGGGACTAAAGGTGCACACCACTATGAGCGCCACCGTGCCTGGCTAATTTTTTTTAATTCTTCTGCAGAGACAAGGTTTCACATGTTGCCCAGGGTGATCTTCTCCTTAAACAGTCTGCCTTCCTCAGCCTCCCAAAGTGCTGGGATTACAGGTGTGAGCCACCATGCCCAACCTGTAGTGTGTGTGTGTGTCTGTGTGTATTTCTACCCACAGAGTGCTATCAAGCAGTTGACAGATAAGATGTTGTCTGTGAAACAGTAATATCAGATATAGTAGAGTACTTATTAGAGTTTAGACAAGAATGGCATGGCGTGGTGGCTCATGTCTGTAATCTCAGCACTTTGGGAGGCAGGGGTGAGAGGATTGCCTGAGCCTAGGGGTTTGAGACCAGCCTGGGCAACATGGTAAGACCTCATCTCTACAATAAAAAATAAAAATAAAAAATTAGCTGGGTGTGGTGGCACACGCCTGTGGTTCCAGCTACTTGGGAGACTGAGGCAGAAGGATCACCCGAGCTCAGCAGGTTGAGGCTGCAGTGGCCATGAGTGTACCACTGCACTCCAGCCTAGGCGTCAGAGTGAGACTTTGGCTCAAAAAAAAAAAAAAACAAAAAAAAACAATTTAGGCAAGAATCCAGCTACTTGGGAGACTGAGGCAGAAGGATCACCTGAGCTCAGCAGGTTGAGGCTGTGGTGCCCATGAGTGTACCACTGCACTCCAGCCTAGGCGTCAGAGTGAGACTGGCTCAAAAAAAAAAAAACAAAAAACAATTTAGGCAAGAATGAACGTTTGAAACTTTCTTCATTATTAGTCTTGGTTTTGTTCTGGAAATGAGTTGTGGTGAATCTTTCACAGTTAATATTAAATCCTAGTAATCAAGATATCATTACCTTAATTATGGCAGAAGGTAATCAATCTCTTTATTTATAGGATTATAAAACAAGAGATGTGACTGATGATGTGAAAAACATTGTAAGGTTTGTTCAAGAACACAGTTTATCACAAGGAACAAGAAATATAAAACATGTAGGTCCTTCTGGAAGATTTACTCTGAATATGCTGGTTGACATTTTCTTGGGTAAGTCATCTGTTTTTATTGTTTGAGTTACATCAATTGAAATTGAACATCCAAAGAATTAATTACAAGTACATAGATAAAAATCTCTTTTGTCTATTTTCTTATAAAACTTAAAAATTTCTGAATAGCCGGACTCAGTGGCTCAGCCTGTAATCCCAGTGCTTTGGGAGGCCTAGGTGAGTGGATTGCCTGAGCCCGTGGGTTCAAGACCCGCCTGGGCAACTTGGCGAGACCTCATCTCTACAATATATCAAAAATGAGCCGGGTGTGGTAGCACACACCTGTAATTCCAGCTACTTGGAAGGCTGAGGTGGAAGGATCGCCGGATCCCAGCAGGTCGAGGCTGCGGTGGCCAGGAGTGCACCACTGCACTCCAGGCTGGGTGATGCAGTGAGACTCCAACTCAAAAAAAAAAAAAAGAACAGTCTGGGCAACATGGCAAGACTCTGTCTCTATTTAAATTTAAACATGCAGGCTGGGATGGTGGCTCAAACACAGGTTCGAGACCAGCCCAGGCAAATTGGCAAGACCTCATCTCTACAATAAATCAAAAAATTAGCCAGGTATGGTGGCACATGCCTGTAGTTATAGCTACTTGGAAGGCTGAGGCAGAAGGATCACTGGAGCCCAGCAGGTCGAGGCTGCGGTGGCTGTGAGTATGCCATTGCACTCCAGCCTGGGCGACAGAGTAAGACTCTGACTCAAAAAAAAAAAAAAGAAAATTTAAACATGCATATATTTAAAAATAATAATAATAAAGATTTCTTTTTTATTATTATGGAGTGCAGTGGCACATTCACGGCCACCCCAGCATCAACCTGCTGAGCTCCAGTGATCCTTCCACCTAAGCCTTTCAAGTAGCTGGAACCACAGGTGCATGCTACCATGCCTGGGCTAATTATTTATTTATTGTATAGATGAGGTCTCACCAAGTTTTCCGGGCTGGTCTCGAACCCGCAGGCTCAGACAATCCACTCGCCTTGGCCTCCCAAAGTGCTGGGATTACAGGCTGAGCCACCGATCCCGGCCAATAATAAAAATTTTAATAATAATTAAATATTATAGAAAATAAAGAATAGAAAAAAGTCAAAAATTTTAATCAATTGACAAAGTAAATTTAGTGGTTGGAAGATAAGGTCAAAAAAATTGTCTAAGACCTGAACAAACAGATACATGGAAAACAGGAGAGAAAAGATATAGAGGATCAATCTTTAGGAGATGTAAAATCTGACAAATAAAAATTTGGGAAATAGAAAATAAAGGGAATTATCAAACCAATTATATAAGAAAATTTCCTAGAGTAGAAGAGATACAAGCATTCAGATTAAAATGCCCACTGAATGCAAAATAAGGTTCTGTATAAAAATTTTAAGATATGTGCCTATGAGATTTGAGAACACCAAGAGTAAAGATATGTCAGAGAGAAACAACTTTTCCTCTACCCTCTTAGGCCCATGATGGGACCTGCAAATTAAACTGACAAAAGACGGATAACCCAGGAAAAGGCTTTTATATACCATCTTTTTTTTCTTTTAAATTTGTGGTTTTTGTTGTTTGTTTGTTTTTTAATTGGGGTCTCACTCTATCACCCAGGCTGAAGTGCAGTGACATGATCACAGCTCACTGTAGCCTCTACCTCCTGGGCTCTGGCAATCCTTCCACCTCAGCCTCCCGAGTAGCTGGGACTATAGGCGTGTACTACCATGCCTGGCTAATTTTTTATTTTTTTGTAGAGACAAGGCCTTGCTATGTTGCCCAGGCTGGTCTTGAACTCCTGTTCTCAAGCAATCCCCTCACCTCAGCCTCCCAAAGTGCTGGGATTACAAATGTGAGCCACCATACCCAGCCTGTTGTTTTTGAGTCAGGGTCTTACTCATGATTGTGCAGTGGCACAATTATGACTCACCTCAGCTTCGACCTCCTGGACTCAGGCAATCCTTCTGCCTCAGCCTCTCAAGTAGCTAGGACTCCAGGCACATGCCACCATGCCTGGCTAATTTTTAAAATTTGTTTTGTAGAGATGAGGTCTCATTATGTTGCCTCGGCTGGTCCTGAATGCCTGAGCTCAAGTGATCCTCCTGTCTCAGCCTCCCAAAGTACTGGGATTACAGGTATAAGCCACCATACTCAACCTAATGTATTTTCTATTTTGTATTTTTGTACAGACAGGGTCTTGCTGTGTTGCCCAGGCTGGTCTTGAAATCCTGACCTCAAGCAATCGTCCCATCTCATCCTCCCAAAATGCTAGGATTACAAGCATGAGCCCCACTGTGCTCATCTTAAAAGGGGAAAGGATGGGGAAAAGAGCATTTATGGGAAAACAAATTACTTCTAGGGGCAATAAATGGGCTCTCAGGAGACTGAATAGGAGACACAACATTTTTATAACAATGTTTAAGTGTGGTGTGGAGACTTATCTCTGCTAAAAGGGTCAGCCTTCCCTGGTTTCCCAGAGAGGGAATTTATGACAACTGTGTTGAGTTCTTTCAGGATGCTCTGCTTTTTGGAAGATAAGACATTTCAGGAACTCAAATGTCTTCTGTTCAAAATAATTTTTATACCACAGTGACATATTCTGGACCCCTTCAGAGACAGTCCTGAAAGCTTTGGAAAGATAAAAGGAACCAAACTAGACTGACATCATCAGATTAATATCAGCAGTCCTGGAGTCCAGAAGGCAATGTAAGGGAGTGCACATCATGATGCAATAAACAGTGGGACTGAGCCATGGGTCCAGTGAGGAGAAATTCTATAATCACAGTTCTGCAGCAGGGCCAGAATGTGGTCTGTGCAAACTGTAACTGAAAGTCAGGGAGAATAGGTCCCAGCTAACATCTAGAAGTCGTCAAAAATGAATTTTTTATCGATAACAGTGAAGAATGCAAATATTACTTCTCAGAGAAAAAAAAAAAAAAAAAGTAGAGAGGCACTGAGAAACTCCAGGGTAAAGATTATGCAGGAGAACTGAGACCAAATATGGAAGAAGGGAAGTTGTAGCATGACTTGGAGGAATTAATAAGATGTATGAGCCAGGCTCAGTGGTTCAAGCTGGTAATCCCAGCACTTTGGGAGGCGTAGGTGAGAGAACTGACTGAGTCCAGGGGTTCGAAACCAGCCTGATCAACTTGTCAAGACCTCGTCTACAATAAACCAAAAAATTAGCTCGGTGTGGTGGCACATACCCGTGGTTCCAGCTACTTGGAAGACTGAGGCGGAAGGGTCACCTGATCCCAGTGGGTCGAGGCTGTGGTGGCCGTGAGCATGCCATTGCACTGCAGCCTAGGTGACAGAGTAAGACTCTGACTCGAAAACAAAATAAAAAAATAAAACTTAAAAGTTACAATCCACTTTACCTGGAGGCGGTGAGCATTCTCCTTTTGGCTACACGGGAGTTACGAAGGAAAGGAAGGAAAGGAGCAAGAAAGGAAACTTGTCAATAGTGTGAACAACAGTTGGAATCAGCATGTCGGCTTAAACGTGGCTGCAGGGCAGGAAAAGATGTAGACGTTAATCTTGATGTAAAAGCAAAAGTGCAATACATAAAAATAAATAAGCAGCGCCCAGGGAGGCTTGGGTACTGTCACCTCTCACAGAGTGGGAAGGGTAATGGTCAGAAGTTCTATCTAAAGTTACAAGCATAAGCCACAGATGAACCAGTAGTATCAGATAACTGACAAAATTTGGGGAAGGGTAAAGTGAAGGGGGTGGTATAAATGAGAGAAAGCCTTGTCCTTCATGGTGGAAGGGGCAGTAGATAAATGTCGGGCTAGTAAAAGGACATGGATTTCAAGTTCTGTGTGCAGGTAATAACAGAAGAGCTGAACACAACTGTTTAAAAAGGCATTACTGGCCGGGCGCAGTGGCTCACGCCTATAATCCTAGCATTTTGGGAGGCCGAGATGAAAGGATTGCCTGAACCCACGGGTTCAAGACCGGCCTGGGCAACTTAGCGAGACCTCATCTCTACAAAAATCAAAAAATTAGCCGGGCTCGGTGGCTCAGCCTGTAATCCTGCACCTTTGGGAGGCTGAGGTGAATGGATTGTCTGAGCACGCGGGTTCGAGACCCACCTGGGCAACTTAGCGAGACCTCATCTCTACAATAAATCAAAAATTAGCCGGGCGTGATAGCGCATGCCTATAGTTCCAGCTACTTGGAAGGCTAAGGCAGGAGGATCACCTGAGCCCAGCGGGTCGAGGCTGCGGTGACCATGAGCGTGCTGATGCATTCCAGCCTGAAATAATATCCTAGATTGGAGTAGGAAGATAATTTGTTCAGTTTCTAGGTGATCACTCTTCATTAAAGTATGTAGGAGAAAAAACTGAAAAATGCAAACCGCCAGAAAAGACTGCTAATATTTTAATGTATTTTCTCACAATTATATATTTATTATATTAGATGTATAATTTATAACATTTTTGTAATTTTTAATTATTCTAAAGCTGTCTTAAATAATTTATATTTTATCATAATGCTGAAATAAATGTATTTAAATAGTTTCTTTTTAGAACATATTTTTCTATTTTAAATAAAGCTGTGATAAGTAATAGTCTTTTAAATAAACCTTTGACTACATCATTTATTTTACTTTTTTTTTTTTTTGAGTTAAAGTCTCACTCTGTTGCCCAGACTGGAGTGCAGTGGCACGCTCCTGGCCACCGCAGCCTCGACCTGCTGGGCTCCAGCGATCCTTCTGCCTCAGCCTTCCAAGCAGCTGGAACTACAGGTGTGCGCTATTACGCCCAGCTAGTTTTTGATTTATTGTAGAGATGAGGTCTCGCCAAGTTGTCCAGGCAGGTCTTGAACCCATAGGCTCAGACAATCTACTCACCTCGGCCTCCCAAAGTGCAGGATTACAGGCTGAGCCACCGAGCCTGACCTTATACAGATTCTTAGAAAGATTACTAGATCAAGGCCAGATACCATGGCTCATACCTGTAATCCCAGCACTTTGGGAACCGAAGGAGGAAGGATCACTTGAGTTCAGAAGGAGTTCCAGACCTCTGGGAAACATAGAGACATCTTGTCTTTACAAAATTAAAAGAAATTAGCCAGGTGTGGTGGCATGTGCTTGTAGTCCCAGCTACTTGGGAGGCCGAGGCAGAAGTATCGCCAGAGCCCAGGAGGTCGGGGCTACAGTGAACTGTGATCATGCTACTGCACTGCAGCCTAGGCGACAGTGAGACCCTGTTGTCAAAAAAGAAAAAAGCCGGGCTCGGTGGCTCAGCCTGTCCAGGAGTTCGACTCTGGGGTGGCCATGAGCCTGCCACTGCACTGCAGCCTAGGCGACAGAGTGAGACTCCAACTCAAAAATAAATAAATAAATACATAAATAAATACATAAATAAATAAATAAGAAAGAAACAAAATCCTTTGTGTTTCAACCAGCTCTCTTAATTGTCCTCAGCAGTTGGGTCCATCCCACCCAGCAGAGCAGTAATACTCATTCTGCAGTGTGGCCTCTCAGAGATACACGTTACTTAAAGAAAAATTTGAATAATTCAGCATATATAGCCAGAAGCCATTTGAAATTTGCAATAATGTAATTCTTTGGAACTCTTTAAAATAGAGCTCAAGCTTTACATGATAACCATTAATTCTGATTATCATAAATGTCACAAGGCCCCTTAAGTAGATTGTTATAATAACATTGTGTTTATAATGAAGACTTTAGTAATTATAGCAGCTTGGGTATGAAACAAGGGATCCAACCCACTGTGGCTCTCAGCTGTGGGAGAAAGAGGGAGGTGTACGGTATTCCTACTTTGACCTCTCCTTGAGCATCCTGTGGGTGTTGTGCTTTTGTTTTAGAATTTCTATACGCTTCATTAGTAAGAGTGCCAAAAAGTATAGACTTGAATACTTGGATTATACAGGACTGGAGATAATATTTATAAAACTGATGGTCAAAAATTTTTTTGTGACCGGGCTCAGTGGTTCATGCCTGTAATCCCAGCACTTTGGGAGGCCGAGGCAGGAGGATTGCTTGAGCCCAGGAATTTGAGACCTGCATAGGCAACATAGCGAGACATCGTCTCTATTATTTATTTTTGGGGGGGACACAGTTATCCTACCACATTGTACAGTAATATGAAACTGTTTTGGTCTTTTTTTTTTTTTTGAGTTGGAGTCTCACTCTGTGGCCCAGGCTAGAGTGCAGTGGCACACTCATGCCCACCCCAGCTTCGACCTGCAGGGCTCCAGCGATCCTTCCACCTCAGCCTCCCAAGTAGCTGGAACTACATGCGCCCACTACCACACCTGGCTAATTTTTGACTTATTGTAGAGATAAGGTCTTGCCAAGTTGAACCTGTTGGCTCAGGCAATCCACTTGCCTTGGGCTCTCAAAGTGCTGGGATTACAGGCTGAGCCTGGCCCTGATATGAAACTATTGTAGTTTATATAAGCTATTTCCTTCTTTGATTTATTTGCTCCAATATAATTTTATATATTAGAGCAATGAGTATATATATTACAGCTAATAAAGCTATAAGTGCAACATTTTAAAATGATAAACGTAATTTCACAATGTGTGTTGTAAAAAGATGAGGGGGCTGGGCTCGGTGGCTCAGCCTGTAATCCCAGCACTTTGGGAGGTTGAGGCAAGTGGATTGCCTGAGCCTACGGATTCAAGACTCACCCAGGCAACTTGGTGAGACCTCATCTCTATAATAAAAATCAAAAACTAGCCGAGCGTGGTAGCACCCGCCCTGTAGTTCCGGTTACTTGGAAGGCTGAGGCGGAAGGATCGCCAGAGCCAAGCAGGTCGAGGCTGCGGTGGCCGGGAGTGTGCCACTACACTCCAGTCTGGATGACAGAGTGAGACTCCAACTCAAAAAAAAAAAAAAAAAGATGGGGAAAAGTACATACAATGATAGACTTTTTTGTTGTTGTTTTAAATCAGAGTCTCACTCTGTCGAGCACGGCTTACTGCAGCCTCAACCTCCTGAACTCAGGGAATCCTTCTACCTTAGCCTCCTGAGTAGCTGGGATTACAGAAGTGTGCCACCACACCCAGCTAACTTTTTATTTTTGTAGAGATGAGGTCTCACTATGTTGCCCAGGCTGGTCTCGAACTCCTAGGCTCAAAACAGTCCAGCCTCCCAAAGTGCTGGGATTACAAACCCAGCCCATAGAATTGTTAGAGTTTTACTCATATTCTCATCCTACAAAATTGAATGTCTATTTTTACCATGCATTTTCCCGTGGAAGAAGTAATCTGTTCCATCTGTCCAGACATGTCCATGAGGGACTTTTTAGCCTCTTCTGTTGGAGGGTGATGTTACTCCTGCATTCACTCATCTTCCTTCTCGTACTTTCTTTCAGGGAGTAAGAGTGCAAAAATTCAATCGGGTATATTTGGAAAGGGATCTGCTTATTCACGACACAATGCCGAAAGACTGTTTAAAAAGCTGATACTTGACAAGATTTTGGATGAAGACTTATATATCAATGCCAATGACCAGGCAATCGCTTATGTGATGCTTGGAAATAAAGCCCAATCTGTACTAAATGGGCATTTGAAGGTATGGTGTTTTAAATGCTTATTTTATTATATCACAATGGGGGGGCCAAAATATATGACCACAAAGAACAGTATCTTTTCCAAAGCTTACAGATCATGAATTTATATGTATACTGTCCTATGTGAACATATTCTTTTCTTCTTAATTTAGAAAGAGATTTTTTTTTTTTGAGTTGGAGTCTCACTCTGTCGCCCAGACTGGAGTGCAGTGGCCACTCTCGGCCACCGCAGCCTCGACCTGCTAGGCTTTGGCGATCCTTCTGCCTCAGCCTTCCAAGTAGCTGGAACTACAGGCGTGTGCTACCACACCCGGCTGATTTTTTATTTATTGTAGAGATGAGGTCTCGCCAAGTTGCCCAGGTGGGTCTCGAACCCTCAGGCTCAGGCAATCCACTCACCTCGGCCTACCAAAGCACGGGATTACAGGCTGAGCCACCGAGCCAGGCAAGTCCTAGTTTCTCAGGAGACTGAGGCAGAAGGATCACCTGAGACCAGGAGGTTGAGGCTGCGGTGACCTATGATTGTGCCACTGTCTCTCCAGCCTGGGTGACAGAGCAAGACCCCAACTCAAAACAAAACTAAAATGCAATCCTGTCAGTGCCTGGTAACATTTTGCCGTTTTGTGGCACTTATCACACTTGGTTTGGCAGTTCCCTTCAACCCAGTAATGGTGCAGGACCTAGAACAGAATGACATTGTGGTAAGAGGAAGCATCTGTAATCGCCACCTTCAGAAAGCAGGTATGGCCACAGACTTACATCAACGTTCTTTTTGGATT